AAAAAAAAAAAATTCTTTTTTTCTATAAGTGCTTGAAAACAAGATATGGTCTTTGTACAAAAATAATTATGACCTGGTCTGTTTCCAATTGACTCTAAAAGGAACATTTAAGTTGAAAACTTAGTTCTTGTGCCTATAATGTTTAAAACTGAAGTTTTGTGCCTAGAAATCCATTAATTCTGAGCATTTAATAGCTCAAAATAGCAGAGAGTTTTCAAAAATAATTTTAAAACAAATGTACATTCTTACAGACATTTATAAAATATTGCAAAGTAAAGAAATGTACAAACATTTTTTTCATAGAATCAACCCAGGTTTCTAAAAATGTGAAATTATGAATCTAATAGATTTAGCTGCCATTACCTTTTCTATTTCTGTATAAAATTTACCCCCACACACGCGCATACATGTACACATACTCTATTTACACATTTTATACAGAGATAGTGTGCACGTGTATGTACATATGATATTTAACTTTGACTTGTCATATAATACATGATAACATTTTTGTGTATTCATCTATATGTTTTTTCTTGATTTAATCTTTCAGAAACATTTTGAGCTCTCTTTTGTATAGCATATAGTTAGATTCTGTTTTTGTTCAAACTGAGAGCCAATTCTTGTTTTTAGATTATAGATGAGTGTAATTTATTTTCAATTACTGATAGTATCAATATGTTTAGAGGTGTGGAATAGTTTCCGGGCTAAGTAAATTCACAGGAGATTCCAGCTCTCCCTAGCTGAGGTTGCCTGCTCCCACCAATTTAGGCACTTTAACAATCTCGCTCTTTCTCATTATAGTGTTTGGTGTTATGACTTTTCAAAAGGAAACAGAAGAGCTTCCTTTTGTGGATACATTTGATGAAGATGAAACTGAGAAAAATTTTTTGTTGTCCAAACCTGTTTGCTTTGCTGTGTTTGGGAAACCAGTAAGTTATCTCTTTCAACTTGTTATTCAGTAGAATCTTTTATTTTTTAAGTTATAATCTTGTGAGCTAACGTACAAGAAGGAAAATCATTAGCGTGCTAGTTTTTTGTGTGTCTGATAGATTTTCGTTGTATGATTAAAATCTGATATAATATTATACATTCATAACTTCTCAGATAAATGAAAAGGAATGTAGATTGTATTTATATTTGTTTTTATATTATGAGGAAACTCCTTCATCAAAACCCTGCGCACCATGACATTTGCGGGTAGTATGTTATCTGAGGTTATTTCAGACTTGATTTGTACATACAACTTTCTTTGTAATTTATTGTGAGGCTTTCTGGAAATGTGAGAGGAGGAGACTTAGTTCATTAAGATGAGTTAGGGGGTTCTCCTGTTAATACCTGAGGATACTGAGAGGCAGCATGGCTCAGCCTTTACCTATAATGTGTTGGAGGTCTTATGTTGTTTTTCCTATCTGCATGATACACATATATTCTATTAGTCTATGTACTATTTTCAATATATTAGTTGTCCATAAGCTCTTTTGTCTTTCCACAAAACATGAAGAAATCAAAGTGGCTCTTGCAATATAGTTTGCTTTTCTAAGCAGTTCTAGTGAGAACCTCTACTAAGAGCTATTTTCAAGCACTGAGCTGGTTGGTAGTTACCATTAGAGGGCCTGAGCCGGTTAACTACAGTCTCTCCAGAACAACAGAGATTAAGAGCTGGATCCCATCTTTAACTTAATTTTATATAGACCCTAGGACAGATACCAAGAAACCATTCCAACCACTTTTGTTTCTAAAAACATAATATATCCCTTAATGTTTTGAAGCAAAAATGATAATTAAAATACAAAATAAAACAATAAATGAAAACATAATACAGTTTTTAAAAAATCAACCGGGAAAATAGCTACATGCAAATGTTAATCCATGAAAATGACCTTCTGTCTTCATGCTGTTAGTGAAATTGCAAATCTGAGAATATGATACTTTCCGAAGATGTCAGTTAAGAAGGATTTTTTTCTCCTCTTGAAAATTACTAAATGGAAGTCTGTCAAAACATTCATGATTATAAACTTTAGGAAGGAAATAAAGCGAAGAATCTCAATATAATCACAATGATCTGTAATCAAAATTACAGGTTATTTTCTTAATTTAGAAAATTGTATTTAAATCACTTCTGTAGATGTGGCATATACAAAATTTAGTGAAGAAAATGAAGCTGTAAATATCTAGGGTGTACTCTTCATGTTTATGGGAAAAATACTTTATAACCTTGGTGTAATTTAATAGTAACCATTAATAGAATCTTTAAAAATTGGTCTATTTCACTGGCAAGTGACTGATCTACTGGGTTTTAAATGACATTCCTCTTTCTCAGGGAGTTGGGAAGACAACATTAGCCCAACAGATAACACAGGCATGGAAATGTATTCGTGTTGAAGGTAAATTTTATTCTCCCCCCCCCGGATATTTTATTATGAAAACTTCCAAATATGCATAAAATGGACTTATCCAATAAACACCCATCTACTCATCCATCCACCACCTAGATTCTATGAATAACATTTTGGTATATTTGCTTCATTATACATCCATCCATCAAACTGGTGAATATTATCTTCATAAGAGCATAAATCCAATCATGTTTTTCCCTTCTCTTAGTCCTAGTATTGTTCAGAGAATTTAGAAGGGTTTATGAAGTTTCTTTAACTCCATTCTACTGCCTCCAATTCTCTAATCCCAGAATTAAAAACTACTTGGGATATATGCATTTGGGTACCTTCTTATGAAGGATGAGAAAAGAAGGAAATCTCATAGCTTTTCTTGGGAGCATTTTTCAGAATGGAATTATATTCACTGATAATTTTTTTAATTTATAAAGCTTTTGCATTCTTTGCTATGTATAAGATAGTGGGTTAACATCTTTATATGTAAATATTATTTTAATCAGTAAAACTATTTTTGTCCTAACATAAAAATAAGGAAAATAATGAATAGGCAATTCATAAAAGTAGAAATAAAAATAGACAATATATGAAAAAAGAGTTTAACCCACTATTATATTCAATGAAATATTAATTAAAATGACACTGATCCATATTTGTCTATGATATTGGCAATGAATCTTTAAAGTTATTATAATCATTGCTGGTAACTGTGTTAAGAAATGGGCATTCCTCATGCTGTTAGTAAAATTGCAATCTCAAATTTTTTTTTTCAGGAACAGTTTGGTAATACATAACAAACACAATATTCTAAAATTTTTCTTTCAGCTCACATCTGTAATCCTAGCACTCTGGGAGACCAAGGTAGGTGGATTGCTTGAGCTAATGAGTTTGAGACCAGCCTGAGCAAAAGCAAGACCCTGTCTCTAGTAAAAATAGAAAAACTGAGGCAAGAGGATCACTGAGGTTGCTGTGAGCTATGACGCCACAGCACTCTACCCAGGGTGACAGCTTGAGACTCTGTCTCAAAAAATAAAATAAAAGAAAATTTTTCTTTCTTTGATCAAAAATTTTCCCTCTAGGAAATCTTAAAGGATACTAAATATTCCATAGATTATTAACAGCTAGTGACATAATTCATCTCCTAGGTCCTCCTCATGTTTCCATCATTTGTCTATCAAGGAATGGTATATTTCTTTCTATAAAGAAAACAAACTATTGGAACTTCAGCCTCAGGGTCCCTCTCTCTTTCTTTTTTCTTTCTTTCTCTCTCTCTTTTCTTTCTTTTCTTTTCCTTTCCTTTCCTTTCCTTTTCATTTCTTTTCACAGAGTCTCACTTTGTCGCCCTTGTTAGAGTGCTGTGGTGTCATAGCTCACAGCAACCTCAGACTTCTGGGCTCAAATGATCCTCTCGTCTCAGCCTCCCAAGTTGCTGGGACTATAAGCACCCACTACAACGTCCAGCAATTTTTAGAGTCTAGGTCTTGCTGTTGCTCAGGCTCATCTCAAACTCCTGAGCTCAAGCAATCCACCCATCTCAGCCTCCCAGAGAGCTAGGATTCTGGGCATGAGCCGGGGCACCTGGCCCAGGGGCCCTTTTTGTTATCCATTTTAACATATCTTGATGGATACTTTCCTTTTATATAATCGGTGTGTAAAATTAATGGTCTCTGGATAGAAATATATAGTTATAAAAGTGTCTGGATTAATAATATTAGTGTATTCTTTTATATGACACTTTATAATTAGAAATCAGTGTCAGATACACCACCTTATTTCATCCTCACACTCTCTTGCATACTACACAGGGCAGGGCATATGTGTGTAAAGGATGGAGGTGTCTAGGGAGGTAGCAACCCCAAGATTCTTTAGATAGAGAGTGGCAGAGACAAGTTCTCTATGGAATACATTCTGCTGCCTCTACTTTGATTAGGGTTAAGTGACATAACACACAGAAGTTTATAAATTTGCTTTGTAAATTCTAAAGTGATACACAAACATTAATCTTTGTTATCAGTTACGAGACGCTTGAATGGGTTTCTTATTCTGGCAACCCTAATACCAATCCATACTAATATTTTGAATTTGCATTTCAGCTTTGTCAGTTTTGGAAGAACAGCTTATGTCTGACAGTGAATCGGGAGTTATGGTAAATCTAAACTTCAAAGCTATTATAATTATGATAAAAGCTGTGCATTCCACGTTTATAATACAGTAATGTACAACATCTTTGCTTGTCCTTAGGTGCAATCGATGTTGGTCAGTGGTCAAAGCATTCCAGATGAACTTGTCATGAAGCTGATGTTGATGAAGCTCAACTCCCCAGAAGTCTCTCACTTTGGTATGTTTATTCTCATGCACCTGCAGCTCACGAATTAGCCTTAAATCATATGCCCTGTCTGAGGCACAAATAGTTTCTGGAGTCACTATTTTGTTTTAGCATAGGAATCCCAGTGACTGTATTTACTTGAGCAATCCAGAGGGTTTGATTTGCTTGTTTGGTTTTGTTCTCCAGGTATTTGTTAAAAAATAATAATAAGTTAATACGACCTAATTTTACTTAGCGTTGTATTATCCAACAAATACATCAAGAATCTGCCGAGGTCCATCTTGCGGTGCTGCTAGCCTCTGCTGAATGTGCCCTCCTTCACCCTGAGTTTTGTCAACAGTCAGGCTTCTCTGCATTAATCCACAGTTATAAGGCAGACGTGTGTCAGGGCCCGGGACTGGCCAGGTCTTGGGTCCAGCTTGGGTAGGTTCCAGACGCGGACTGCTAAACTACCTTGCTCAGGAACAGTTTCTCTTAGGTGCTTGAGGGCTATTTACTTTAGCTGGAGAGAGAGAGTCTTAGAGAGAGTAAAGCAGTCTCCTTAGAACGGATAGATCTTAGTCTTTAGCAGAGCCTGGTAATCTTCAGCAGAGGGAACACCCCCAACGTGCTGGCGTTCTGCAGGCAGGAGAGGAGACAGAGTCAGAGTCAGTGTGTCCGTGATAGAATGCGCATACCTCTTGTCTGCCTTCTCCTCCAGCCTCATATAAGGCTGAGCTCCTGCC